GAAGATGTCACCTTGAAAACTAAGGTGCACCTGATACAAGCCATGGTATTTTCAGGAAGCTCATATACATGCAAAAACTGGACAGTGACTAAGGAAGACTGTAGAAGAATTGATGCTTTTGAGTTATGGTGTTGGAGGAAAATATTGAAAGTGCCATAGGCTGCCAAAAGAACCAACAGATCTGTGTTGGCAGAAGTACAGCCAGAGTGCTCCTTGGAGTCCAAGATGGCCAAACCTCATCCCTCATACTTCGGACATGTTGTCAGGAAGGACCACTTTCTGGAGACAGATATCATGTTTGATAAGGTGGAGGGTCAGAGAAAAAGAAGAAGACCCCCACAGAGATGGATTGGCAAAGTGGCAGCATCAGTGAGTTCAAGCGTGGCAACAATTGTGAGGTTGGTCCAGGATCAGATAAGGCTTTGTTCTGTTGTGCATAGGGTTGCTATGTCAGTATCAACTCAATGGCACCTAACAACAACAACAACAACAACATCTAATTACTAAGGAATCCTAGTATAGTGCTGGAGTAAAACTCATTGGAGTACAAAGTTAGTTTGAACCTCAAGTTTGGCGGTTCAAACCCACAAGGTGTTTCTCTGAAACCCTATACAAGATCATTATGTTTCAGGACAGACTCAATGATACGTAACAACAGCAACAACTAATTGCCAGTCTTTAACGGATTCTATGCAGGGTCCTATGAGTTGGAACTGACTCCAAGGCACATAACTACCACCACCACGAAGAAAAATATCTACAAAAATAAAATCAATAAGTTGAGTTTGCAGCCATTTGGTTAAGATAAATATTTCACACAATTACATAAATGGATATAAGTACCATGTTTTATCCTAATACAAAACTGTCTGAGATTACATATAAAATTATACAAGATTAGGTCATTGAAATGAAGCCAGATTAATCTTGACAATGACATCTTGGCACTTTTTTTGGATCCTATTAGGAAGTTGGGCATCTTTCTAGAACCTAGTCCCCATACAAGTAGCTGGTACCTCCTGCCCTTCTTACCCTTCATGCTCAGTGGGGACAGGGAAGAACTGTTATCTCACTTACTGGGTGGAATCCCATGTGAAGTAGAGAATACACTATAATCTCCATTTAATGGATAATTAACTGAGATAAGATGTTAGCAAGTATTACATCTTCCCTGCCCTATTCCTGCAAGTCCATAGGTACATCCAACTGGCCCAGAGAAGTAAGATCACTAAGACTAAATTAATGAGCTCATGACTGGCCCCTGTGTCTTAGATCACTGAGACTAAAATAATGTGCTAATGACAGGCCTTGTCCTGCCTCTCAAATCAGACAGTGCATACAATAGTGAGAACTAGAGTATGGATTCTGGAGCCTCATTCTTCCTTTGTGGTGAAACCTTGGACAGATTGTTTATTCTTTCTGTGAATCTCTTTGTTCATTGGTAAAAATCAGATGATACTAATAGTGATAATGATCTGGACCACAAGGTCGGTTTGAACTGCAAGGTTGGCAGTTCAAATCCACCAGCTGCTTCACAGAAACCCTATACAGGGTCACTGTGAGTAGGCATCAACTTGAAGGAACTTAACATAACACAGAGTTGCGGTTATGTTAATTCATATAGATCATATAAAACAGTACGTAATACATGAGTGAATTATTCATTTGCTTTTTAAATAAATCATTTTTTTTTTCATTTCTGTAACTACTATGTGCTGCCACTCTAACCTTCCTTTAATAAATCTTTTCTAATGCTATTTGTCTACCTAAAAATACTAGTTATTTTTTACTTTTTACCTCTTTTTCCTGAATCGTAAAATATGCATAAATATGGCCCTTCATCTTGTATGGGGTTCTGGTGTGGTGCTGAGGGTTAATGTGCTGTTTTGCAAGGTTGGTTTGAACTGTAAGGTCAGTGGTTCAAGCTCACCAGCCACTCTTTGGAATCCCTACACAGGGTCACAGGGTCGCTATGAGTTGGAACCACCTTGATGGCACTGATCAACAACAACCTCTTGAATGCCTTCCCAGCCAGAATCTCCTGTCTTAGACAGGCTTGTCCCATTCCTTCATTCATATGGAAAGTTATTTTTTAAGCCTATTTAACTTCACATTTTATTCATGCAATGAGCAGCCTGGATTTTTCTAGCAGCAGGAGGCTTTCCCTCATTGTTTAGCCTCCATGGATTACTGTAGTGCTTGAATTAGTATGATAGAGTAAGCTTAGTTAGGTGATCCTGTAGATTCTGCTCTAAAGTGCACAGTAATAACTAACTGTGATAATCAAAATTTGAAAGCCAATTAAGAAGCTCTAAAAATAATCATCCTGATATGTTACAACTCAGTAATTTCATAATTTCTATAAGAGACTCTGTTTTCCAGAAATAAAAGAGACTATCCTCATGTGGTACAGTAGGATAAGTACTAGACTACCAACCACAAAGTCAGTGGTTCAAACCCACCAGGCACTCCTTGGGAACTCTTTACCAGATCACTATGAGTCAGAACTGATACTCGATGGCACTCAACAACAACAATATCTACTTCTCAACATCAAAAATGTACTTATTTTTTAATCACTCCTGTGATTATGAAATAAGTATATTTAAATTACTCATGTGGTGTCTGGTATAACATATTAAGACAAAATTAAATATGTGATATTCTTGACTTTCACTGACTGACTTACATTTTTCTAATATTTTTTCCTCAGTAGAGAATTGTACAAAACTGAGCAAACATGAAACCAATTATACTTTGGAAAATTTGAAACCTTATAAAAACTATTCTGTGTCAATATTTGCCTACAATGAGGGAAAAGTGCAACGTAACGGAATTGCAGTGACATGTAAATTTGAGACAGAAATAACAGGTAAGTTATATGCTTCAATACATATTTCTATAGAGGGCACGTAGCAAAGTATGAACTTCTTAGCTTACATGATTGTGCTTTACTTGGAAACACATTGACATGGGGCATTTGTTAATATCTGAGGCCTATATTCCATCCTTATCAGTTTACTCTATGTGGTGGTTGACATGTGTGATGCTGGAAGCTATGTCACATGTATTCCAGATGCCAACTTGATTACCCACGGTGCGCACGTTTCACAGGAACTTCCAGACTAAGGCAGACTTGGAAAAAGAACCTAGCACTCTATTTCTGAAAAACTTGGCCAGTGAAAATCTTATGAATAGGAGTGGACAGCTGTTTAACATAGTACTGGAAAATGAACCTCTCAGGTTGGAAATAACCCCAAATACAACTGAAGAGCTGCCTCCTCCAAGTAGAGTCAACCTTAATAATGTGGATTGAATAGAGCTTTTGGGACCTTCGTTTGCTGATACAGCATGACTCAAAATGAGAAGACACAGCTGCAAACATCCATTAATACTTGGATCTTGAAATGTCAAAAGTGAAATGGAATTCTTAACCATTGTTATCTTAAGCATTAGTGAGCTGAAATTGACTGGTATTGGTCATTTTGAATCAGACAATCATGTGGTCGAGTCTATCAGGATGCCAACTTGAAGAGGATTGTCATCACATTCATAGTCAGAAAACATTTCAGTACCTATTATGAAGTACAACGTTGTCAGTGATAGGATAATATCTATGTGGCTACAAAGAAAATGAGTTAATATGACTATAATTCAAATTTACATACCAACCACTAATACCAAAGATCATGAAATTTAAAATGTTTTACCAACTTCTACTGAATTAATGAAATATGCATTCAAGATAGTTATTGGTAATTAGAATATGAAAATTAGAAATAAAATAAAGGATCACGTCTTGGCAATAGAAATGACACCAGAGACTATGTGATAGAATTTTGCAGAAAACCAATGACCTCTTCATTGGAAATTCCTTTTTTATTTTTAAGCAACATAAATGATGACTGCATGTGGATCTTGTCAGAATGAATACATAGGAATCATATAGGTTGCATCAGTGGAAAGAGATGATAGGGCTTATTATTATCAGTCAGAGTAAGATGAGGGACCAACTGCAGAATAGACCATCAATTGCTCATATGCAAGTTCAAGGTGAAGATGAAATATTTAAACAAATCCATGAAAGCCCAAGTAGTACCTTGAGTAGATCCCATCTGAATTTAGAGACCATCTTAAGAATATATTTGACACTCTGAACACTAATGACTAAAGATCAATTGAATTGTGGGATGATATTAAGGATATCATATATGAAGAAAGCAAAGGATCATTAAATCAAATGGAAGATGTGATAAAAGAGTTTGACAGATTTCAAAGGACACCTCCAGAAGACAAAATAAAGTATTATAATGAAATATGCCAAGACCTGGAGTTAGAAAACCAAAAGGGAAGGACACACTTGGCACTTGTCAAGCTAAAAGAAGTGAAGAAATAATTAGAGTCTCAAGTTGCCATATTGCAGGATTCTATGGGCAGGCTACTGAACTGGGCAGCAGAAAACATCAAGAGAAGATGGAAGAAATACATGGAGTTGCTGTACCAAAAAGAATTGGTTCATGTTCAGCCATTTCAGGAAGTAACATATGATCAATAGCAGATGATATTGAAGGCAGAAGTCCAAGTTACACTGAAGGCATGGATTGGGGGAAAAAAACAACAAACGAGGCTTCAGAAATTGATGGAATACCAGTTGAGATGTTTCAGTAAACAAATGCAACTCTGGAAGTATTCAGTAACCTGTGCCAAGAAATTTGGTAGACAGTTACCTGGTCAGGTCAACAAACTGGAAGAGATTCATATTTGCGCTCATTCCACAGAAAGGTGATCCAACAGGATGCAGAAATTGTTGAACAACATTAGTATCACACACAAATAAAATTTCACTAGAGATAGTTTTTCAAAATTGCTGCAGCAGTATATTGACAGGAAATGGTCACAACTCCTAGCTGAATTCAGAAGACAGCATGGAATGAGGGATCTCACTGCATATGTCAGCTGGATCTTGGCTGATGGCTTAGAATACCAGAAAGATGTTTACCTATGTTTCGTTGACTATCAAAGGAACTCAACAAATTATGGATACTATTTCAAAGAATAGGAATACTAGAACACTTAGTTGTGCTCATGCAAGGGGATACTGTGTGGTTTAAAATCAGAAAAGGTATATATCAGGGTTGTTTACTTTGACCTTACTCATTTAATCTGGATCCTGAGCAAATATTCCAAAACACTGGATTATTTAAAGTAGAATGTGTTATTAGAACTGAAGGAAGACTCATTAACAGACAGTGATGTGCAGGTGTCACAATTTTGTCTGCTAGCTGAGAGAAAGAAGACTTGAAACACTAATGAAGATCAAAGACTAGGTCTTTAGTATGGACTTTTGTTGTTGTTAGAGTTGGTTCCAACTCATAGCAACCCTGTATAGGATTTCCAAGGATTGGCTTGTGAATTTGAACTGCCGACCTTGTGATTCAAACCGACCTTGAGGTCTACTGCTTTATCCCACAGCACCACACCAGGATTCCTCAGTATGGATTACACCTCAACATAAAGTAAATAAAAATCCTCACAATGAACAAAGAAGAGGTCGAACTTGTCAAGGGTTTCATTGCACTTGAGTCCGCCATCAATACCCATGGATGTGGTGGTGTTATTTGAGTTGGTTACAATTCAGCAACCCTGCATAGAATTTCTGAGGAGGAGCTGGTGGGTTTAAACCTCATTGTTAGCATTACATGCTTTATCCTACAACACCACACCAGATTTACACCTATAGATAGAAGGCAAGAAATCAAAGAATGTATTAAATCGGACAAATCTGATGCAAAAGATCTTAAAGTATTAAAAAACCAAGATGTTACTTAGAGGACTATGGTTCGACTGGTTCAGGCCATCATATTTGCAATCATTTCTTATGCCAATCAGTAAGGAAAGCACTTAACAACAACAGGGACAATTATTGTCTTGGCAAAGAATATTGAGTATTCCAGAAGAACATACAAATCTTTCTGGGAAGAAGTACAATCAAAAGGTTCTTTTGAAGACAGCATAACAAGGCTTTATCTCAAGTACTTTGGAAGTGTCATCAGGCGGAACCAGTTCCTAGAGAAGGACATCATGCTTGGTAAAGTAAAGGGTGAGCAAAAGAAGAAGAAGGGCCTCAATGGATGGATTCACACTGTGGCTGCAACAGTGGACTCAACCATAGGAACTATTTTGAAGATGGCACAGGATCCTGCAGTGTACTTCCGGTGGTACACAGGGTTGCTATGAGTCAGAATCAACTTGAAGGCACCTAACAACATTTATATTAATTTTAAATAAAATAATTAAAAATTTTTAGTTATTCTGGGTTCTTTGTGTTTTTCAGATGTAGTCATACAATAGGAAGAATTAAAGGCATTTGAACTGGTATAGTTTGTAGGATTTCAGGCAATTGAGTACCTAACAAAGTTAGATAAAAATGGACTATGTTTTGCTTTTGCTACTATCTAGAAATATTAATTACAAGCAGACACCTAACAATATGTTACACACAAATATTATTAGTCTGTTCATTTGACAAAACAGCTCATAAAATAATATTTCTGTTAGCAATTTTTTTTCTCTTTTCCTCTCAATTATTTGTCATTTTATGTCACATTTTAATTTGAGGTTTTCTTTGAATATCATTTGGCTATTGCCACCTATATTATGCATGTCTCCTTCAATTACCACTCATGGCAACCCCACATTACAGAGTAGAACTGAACTCCATAGGTTGTTCTTAGCTACAGTCTTTACAGAAGCACATCATCAAGTCTTCCTTCTTGAGTGCCATTGGGTAGGTTTGAACCAACAACCTGTTGACTAGTAGTCAAAGACAGACCATTTGCACCATTCCTAGGTTCAAAGTTAAATCTGCCTATGAGGTGGTGCTAAGGTTCATTATGGGCACGGAAAAAACTGCCACTGTGAGGTAGCATCAGGAGTTCCTGGTTGATGCAAACAGTTAAGGTACTTAGTGTGTTTAGCTATGAATCAAAAAGTTTGAGACCACCCAGAGATGCTTTGGACGAAAAGCCTGGTGATCTGCTTCCAAAATATCAGTCACTGAAAATCCTATGCAGCGCTGCTCCATTCTAGCACACTTAGAATTGCCATGAATTGAAGTTGATTCCATAGAAACTTGTGGTTGGTCAAGGGACATCTATAGCTCCAGAGATGCTGAATGTACCTGGCTCATTTAGAAAACTTGTCACATTTAGGGCTGGACATAAATTTTTAAAATATCATTTAGGTTTTGGTTTAAGAAGTCAAGATTCCTGAGCTCTATACTTTTATTACTTTCCTGAGTTTCTGTGATACCATAGAATGTCAAGATAATGTATGACCATGAACATCAGAAGAGACCAGAAGAGCTAGATGATGCCCAAATACCACTACCAACTATTCTAAAAAGGATCACATTAGACAGTCGTGAATAGAGTGGAATAAAATGTGGATCAAAACTCACAGTTATAAAAATGACCAGGCATACTGCTCAAAAGGGACTGGAGGAACCTGAGAATATGTACCTTGGTCACCCTTCACATCTGGAACTGAACTCACCATCGTGGCTCAACTTCCAGCCAAGCAGTAGACAGATACATGGGCAGAGACAGCAATAGTGAAGTAAGCACACCACTGAATGGTCAACCAGTCAAGATAAAAAGGGAAGCATTTACCCAAGGGCAAAAATCCAGAAGGGTTGTGATAGAAGGTGGAATGGAAGCAAGAATCACAGAGAGGAAGTGGGATAACTGATGTTACATGAAGGAGATTGCAATCATTGCAATGAACCAAAGTAGATGATTTGTTGAATGTAAAACTGCTGATCTGCTCTGTAAACTTCAATTCAAATCACAACATAAAGGTAATGTTTTGCTGCTCTTGAAGAATTCAACCAGCTTTCTATCTGCGTAATTTAAGGAGAAACAAGTGAACTTTGGGAAAGGAGGGCCAGATTGTGTGGGAGCCTATGTTTAACTGGTAAAGCCTGTGATTTCAAAGAGGGTATAGAGAAATCAAAAGGGAAGTTAGAAATAATACTGTTAAAATCTATGGTGGTGGTGGCTGTGTGCCATCAAGTTGGTTTTGACTCATAGTGACCCTGCATAGGCTTTCCAAGGCTGTAAATATTAACAGGAGCAGAAAGCCTCATCTTTTTCCCTTGGAGCGACTGATAGATTAAAACTGCTAACCCTGAGGTTAGCAGCCTTACTCTACTACCAAGGTTCCTGGCTAAAATCTATACTGGAGGTGAAACTAGGAGGGGAAAATTAATACAGTCTCCACAGACTTTCTGATTCAACCAAATGCTTGCTTTGAAATTTTGCTGAAAGTATTTTTAGTAATGGGCTTTGAACTGATGATGGAGCCAAGTGAAAAGTCAGGGAGAGAATCTTGCAGGCATTTGGAAGAGCAAAGTAAGAGGTCATTGGCAGGAAATGGATTTCCTATGTTCTAGAAGTGTAATAAAGATTTTAGGTTTCTTTTCAAGATTTCTTTCTCTGAAACATCTTTTCATCCTCTAATATTTCTATCTGAAAGACCCCACTCCTTTGTGATTACATATTTAGGATTTAGTTTGTTAGATTTTAAGCTCTGTGAGGATAACCACTGTTGTTCAGTTGATTTCAACTCATAATAACTCTGTATAGAGTTTCCAAGGCTATAAATCTTTTACAGGAGCAGAAAACCTCATCTTTGTCCCATGGAGTGACTGGTAGGTTTGAACTGCTGACATTGTAGTTAGCAGTCCAGTGCTTATCCTATAGTGCCACCTGGGCTCCATGAAGATAGGACTTGCAAAAAAGGAAAAAAAAAAAAAAATGATACCAACGATTCTTCCATAACACTCTACTCAGCTGGGTTCGGTAATTCATTGCAGTGGCTGCACAGAACTCAAACACTACATTCCGTTATGAGGTTTATTAGGGAAGTTAACAGGGTACGATGCAGGCTCAGAAAATGGAAAGGACACAGTTGTTTCAGCTGGGAGAGCATCTCCTCTGTTGTGCTCACAGGCAAACCCCTCTGACCCTTGGCGCCTTGACCTAGACTCTATCCTGCTTTGACAATGGCACATAGCTCTTTTAGAGCTATTGACAAATGTCCACAGGATGTATCACACCACCATAAGCCTCAGCCTGAAGGCACTAGCTCTGTGCATGGATCAGCAAATCAGCTCCTCCAATTATGTGCCGAGAAGTACTCCATTCTGCAAGCAAGCCTCCTGCTTAAAGTTACTCAACTGCACTTGCTCATTGGGCCGGGGAACCCAGTGCTCTTGCTCTTGATTCTGCTGCTGCTGCTTCTCTGTCACTCCTTCCGTGTCCCCAGGTTAAGGAGGTTCAATATGTAGTGATATTGGGGTCCAAAGGATGTATTCCACTCCTGACTCTCCTTTGATGGTAGTGAAAGCCCCCCTTTCTGCTTGTCAGATGACTTACTTTATACCCATGTTAGAGTTCTAAGTGTTCACAATTAACTGTGTTAACAATCACTAACAATTAAATCAGATAACCCTTAGGACCTTTTCTTGCCCAGATTCATCAGGAAGCTCATGTGGTGGAAGTTACAGAGACTATGTTAGAAGAGACATTACGTATTTCACAACAGCTCAGGGGTATTTACCGCTGTTCATTCATAATGTAGCATAGTATTTGGCACACAATAATAATGATGCTAATGAGTGAACAGATGAAATATGGATGTTGTTGTTGTTAAGTGCCATCGAGTCGGTTCCGACCCATAGCGACCCTGAACAGGGTTTTCGAGGCTGTAAATCTTTACGGGAGCAGAAAGCCTCATCTTTCTCCTGTGGAGCAACTGGTAGTTTCGAACTGCTGTACTTGAGGTTCGCAGCCCAATTCGTAACCACTATGCTACCAGAGCTCCTTTTAGGTACTTTTTAAAATGTAATCTCCCTTTTGTTACGATATGCTTCCCACTTAAGAGGTTTTGGATGATGCAAATGGGTTAATATGCTCAACTATTTACTGGAATGTTGAAGGCTCGAGTTTAACCAGAGGTGTTTCACAAGAAAGGCCTGGGGATCTACTTCTGAAAAAATCAACCGTTAATAACCTTATGGAGCACAGTTCTATTCTGATACACATAGTATCAGCATGAAGCAATACTAACTTCTTAGCAGTTGTTGCTTTTGGTTACCACTTCACAATCAAGTTTCTAGTCTACAATTACTGTCCCCAGCGCTTGACCTCACTTTCACTGTAAATAAACATACTGCAACTCACTCGACCAGCCAATAAAGACTGCTCTTACCAAGGACAGTCGGTGGCCTATCAATAGTCCTGGTGTGGTGACTTAGGATAAGCATTCAAGGTTGGGTTTCAACCACAGGGTGGGCTGTTCACATTCACCAGCTGCTTCTTGGAAACCCTATAAAGGGTCACTATGTGTCAGAACCTGCTCAATGGCACTTAACAATAATAACAAATTCATAGCTAAACCTAGCAATTATTTCTTACCTCTCAGTTTACATGAGCTATCATCAGCATGCATTCATAATTCTCGTAACTCCTTTGGATAACTCAGTCCCCTCAGGGCTTCGCTTACAGACTCTATCTTATTTACCTGGTTGGGGCTTCTCAGTCTCCTTTATGGGCTTTTGCTTCTACCCTTTGAGGTTTCTCAGCTGCCACTCTTTCCCTTCTTTTCCCTTCCCTTTCCTACCTCTTCAATTTTGTTCCCTTCTGCCTTGTTTTTTCTTTTATTTTCTAATTATACACTCTCATTGGTAGAATGTATAAACTCCTATGACTTCAACTATAATCTGTGCTGATAGTTTAAGAATTAATTTTGGCAATTTACCTTCAAATGTTTTGGTATAGTTTTGTTTTAACTTGTGAACTACTCTAACTTTGTTATCCATGGCCGCTGAATACTTAACACACATTCTAATGTGCTCATTTATTGTTGAATAATTTATATGTACAGTTTTAAATGAATAAAACAACTTTTTCTTCATTTTGATAGAACCACCTAACGTAACGGATTTGGCGGTTACACGGACAACAGATAATAGTTTCTCTGTGAAGTGCAAGAACCCTACTGATTGGAATGGTCCTGAAAAAATTTATAATTTGAAAGTAAAAAGTGGAGGTAAAATAGTGTCAAAAAAAAATAAAACAATATGTGATTTCACACAAGAGAATCTTCAATATTTAACACCATATGAGTTTCAGGTAAGATTATGTTTTCTATAATTACTATGATACTGACACACATTATAATGATTACATTAGTATAATATAATGTTCAGAACGTTCAATTGAACTTTAGGACCTCTTACATCAGTTGTAATCATGTTTTTAAAGTCATGAAAGTTTTCATTCCAAATATTTCAACCCTACTAAACCAGTGGTTTAACAAAAATATTTTTTGGAATATTTTAGAATTTTAATATAATTTTATATAGGTATATTATTGCTCCTGTGGTAAGGAGCCTAAAATTTATGGATAATTGACTGTTACTGTGCTAAATATTTTCCTTCCTTTACTCCTAATAACATGACATTTTCAACTAAAAATCTTTACAGGTTGTGATGCAATCAATTATTTAATATGGCTCTTCTGGTTATTGTTGTTAAGTGCCTATTGTGTAGTTGGTTCTGACTCAGAGTGACCCTGTATAGGGTTTCTGAGGAGGGACTGGCAGGTTTGAACCGCCTACCTTGTTGTTAGCAGTTCCGTGCTTTTCCTGCAGCACCACTCCAGCACTTCTAGCCATAATCATCCATTTTGTGATGTTTTTGTATATCCTACCCT